GAGAGAGAGAGAGAGAGAGAGAGAGAGAGAGAGAGAGAGAGAGAGAGAGTATGCTTTCAACTACAAATTGTAGTTGTGGACGATTCGGCTTTGATGCTATGCGGAAAATCGACGAAATCATATTGAAATTTACAAATGAAGAAATGACGACACGTCAATCTAAAGTGTTCGCACATGCCATATGCCTGTTTTGCACTCGCTACAAATTACACATTTTCGAACGTGCGGCCTCAAGAATGCTTGTTCAGTACCAAAGGTGCACTAAAGTATATCATAAATGTTGCGCTTTTTTATCGAATGCATTTGTTGTTGCTGTTGTTGTTTTTGAATTGTCGTCATTTGCATGTGCGCACGACTCAATAAAAAAAAACAGTAATGACTTGAAATAATAAATAAACTTTCATTTTCGATGGGCCACACTGAAACGCAATAAGAATAATACGCATCTGCCCCATTCAAGTAAATAAAAAACAAGTCGTTAAAAAAAGATTTCGATGAATTTCCAGAAATTCTAGATGACTCAATAAGGGCGTTTGCCGATTTTCGGCATCGCACAAGCACACACCGAGTCAGATATGCGCAAACAAACGTATCATTGTGATAATTTTTGTGTGTCTATGACTGACTATCTATCTTTTGATATATAGCAAACGAATAACAACAACCAAATATTAATGACTCGCAATTTGATCTCGCATCGTTATGCGGAACAGAAAAAAAGAAACCGTTACCAGCAGCCAGTCAGCCAGCCAGCCAGCAAAAAAAAAGTACAGAGAGTTTGCAAAGTTCTCGGTTCGGTTCTCTGTCTACACAGTATACGAGGTTTGCTTTACGCTACGCTACGCTCGCTCCGACGGTATGCAAATACATTGTCAAGGTTAGCTGTTGCGTCAGCCACCACATAACAAATATGTCCGCTACATTGTAGTGTATATAGAAGGTGGTTTTGTCTCCAATACCGTTTGAATTTGAATGTCAATCGGTTGTTGTTGTTGCTGGATTTTTTTTCACGTTCAGCATTGTTATTTCCTGCGCCAACCACGCAACAGACGATTCTCGATTTATGTTTCGACATTCATTGTTCATTCAAATGCCCTCTGACCTAACAATATACCTAGTTGAATAGCCGCGCTCATCGATCTTCTTCTTCTCTATTCTCTTCATTTCTTCTAGGCATGCCCATTGAATCCAGCACCAGAACTTCAATCAGAACAGGAATTTTCACAGCGTTTCGCTCATGTGATTCGTGGTGTTATCGATTTTGCCGGTATGATTCCCGGCTTCCAGTTGCTCACACAAGACGATAAATTCACATTGCTGAAGGCCGGCTTATTTGATGCATTGTTTGTGCGTTTAATTTGCATGTTTGACACATCAATAAACAGTATCATCTGCTTGAATGGCCAAGTAATGCGACGGAATTCAATACAAAATGGAGCCAACGCTCGATTTTTGGTGGATTCAACATTCAATTTTGCCGAACGCATGAATGCGATGAACCTATCCGATTCAGAGATCGGTCTATTCTGTGCAATTGTTTTAATATCGGCAGATCGTCCTGGTTTGCGTAATATTGAATTGGTGGAAAAAATGCATTCAAGACTGAAGGGTTGCTTACAAACAGTTATCTCACAAAATCGACCAGACGATCCAGATTTCATGATCGAACTACTGAAATTGTTGCCCGATTTGCGAACACTCAGCACATTACACACCGAAAAATTGGTCGTTTTCCGGACCGAACACAAAGAAATGCTGCGTCAACAGATGTGGTCCATGGAAGAGGAATCAAGCAAAAGCTCCGGCTTAAGTCAATGGGGCTGCAATGATCAAGTTATTGAAGAAGTCACAAAAAGCCCAATGGGATCGGTTTCCAGCACGGAATCCGGTGACACTACGTCCGATTATTCACAGTCGCTATCACAATCGGCACCACTATTGGCAGCAACACTTGCCGGCGGTTGCCCAATGCGATTGCGCGCCAATTCCGGATCATCGGCTGAAGATGATATCGTTGGAACACATCATTTAACACAAAATGGTTTGACAATAACGCCAGTGGTGCGATCAACAACAGCTGCTCATCACATTCGCTATCGTAAATTGGATTCACCAACCGATTCGGGCATCGAATCCGGTAATGAAAAAGCCGATCACAAAGCTGCTAGCAGCGAATCGTCATCGTGCTCGAGCCCAAGATCATCGGTCGATGATATGAATGAGGAGAAACGGCCTATTGCCGAAGATATGCCCGTATTGAAGCGTGTACTTCAGGCACCACCACTTTACGATACAAACTCATTGATGGACGAAGCATACAAACCACACAAGAAATTCCGCGCTTTGAGACATCGAGAATATGAAGCCGAAGCTGATTCAGTGCAACAGCATCATTTGTCGTCGCATAGCCAGCAACAGCCACAACAACAGCAATCACATTCGAGTGAACTCCCACAATCGCAACCCATTAGCGAGAAACCAGCTCTATCGCCACCACAAACAAATCCACATCAAAGGTGAGTTTTTATTCCATCTCTCTCAATTTTCTCTTGTTTATCAGTAGTAGATGAAATCGAATCGATGATTCGACCTCCCATAATTGCAAAAGAAAAAAAAATTTATTGTGTTCGACCCATTTTTTGACCTGGAAACGTTTTGTTCTTTTTCTCTTCCTCTTCCCCATATCGAAATGTGTTCAGTCAATTACACATGCATTTAACAAGGCCAAACAGTCATCAGCATAGCTCAAGTGCGCCTACTCATCATCATCAGTCTTCCTTGTCAAGTACACATTCAGTGTTGGCCAGATCATTGATGGAAGAGCCCCGAATGACACCTGAACAAATGAAACGAAGTGACATTATTACATCGTATATTAAGCGCGAATCGCAAGTCGAACAACAGCGCGTTAGTTCACAGAGTGGGCTATTAGTGTGTGCATTGTCGTCCGGTTCGAACTCACATCGAAGTTCACCATTGAATGCAACCGCAAGCGCAATGCCACCAAAACAATGTCCATACACTGGCGCATCAACGAATCGCTGGCAAAACGGTACCACATTGTCAGTTATCACAACGACGCGCCACAATACAGGTAAGCCCATGTTTTAAACACATTACTCATCTATTTTGTATCAATTGTGTTGCTTTTCAACCGTTTTTCATCATAAAAATTACATTATTTTTCGTCTCGTCAACCAAATTGTTTTTACATGGAAAACTAACCGTGTTTTTCGTTTTGTTTCGTTTTGTTCTGAATCGTTACAGAACCAACGCCAATGCGCGAGGATGTGAATATGATTCAGGATGGTGTGGATGCACGGCTTAAAAGCGATGCATCTTCACCAACGTCATCATCACCGCACTCAACCTCATCAACATCACCGGCAATGCCAAATTCAACCGCATCAATGGATGAAGACGAAAATCCAATGCTTCGATCAACCATGGTATCGTTGCTTCAGCCACTGAATCTGTCGAAAAAGTCACCATCACCTGTGCAGCATCAACTATCGTCCTGCTTTTAAAAAATAACGAAGCAAAAGTGCGTATAATAATTTAATTTTTAACAGAAAATTAAACATTGAGCAAAAAACACAAGTTAAGAGTATAAGTTCTTATACACGAAGATGTGTCCTAAGAGTTGCTATTGTGCTTGATATTTTGGGTGCCGAACATTGATGTTGATTGAGAATTATTTGATAGAAAATATGTTACAACACACAAAATGGTGAAAGAAAGCAGCAAAAAATGATGAAACCAAACCAAACTCGGACCGAACACTGGCACACATACGCACGGTGAGCACAAAAGTGATTTTGTTGTCTCTCTCAATATGTGTACAGACAAACGATTTGGATCAAGCCAAGAGAAATAATGCAAACAAAGCAACAAAATTGCGATATTGATTTTATCTACTCAAAACAAAGGAGAAAAAAAACATTGTTGGGCTTAAAAAATATTCATTCAATGTGCAAAGAAACTAGTGTGTATTTTCTTGTTTTTTTCTTAAACTTTTGTTTTGTTACACATCTATGGATAAAGGAAAGAAGAGGTTCGCGAAAAGGAGAAAAAAGTGATTAGTCAAACCCGAACGTGTGTACATGTGGAACACAAATTGCATTAATTTATGAACATACACTTTTTAACGTTTAGATTGTGAACATTTAATCGAATCAATTGAATAAAAAAAAAATAACTAAAAGAAGGCAATCAAGCCATTTGATTGATAACAAAACACACACACACACAACAAACGTTTAAGGAAAACACTACCTAAGAAGAAGTTAGAAACGACATTTTTATTATGTAAATTAAATTACTTAGTGAATATTATTATTATATACAATCTGAACCACATAGAAGCGGATTGATTGAAAGAAAACACACACACACACAAAAAATTGAAAAAACCTATCAAGTAATTACATTTTTCTTCTTCTTTTATTTTGAATTATTTGAAGTTACAAAGAAAAACTTAGTGAAATAAATTTAATGGTAAAGATAAAAGAAATAAACAAAACAAAAAAAATTATTATGAAGAACAAAAATGGAAAAAAAACGACAAAAAAAAACAACAAACACATCTAATACACACATCATTTGAAGATCTCTTCCCATCAATTTTTCTATCTGTTTAAGTTTTAACAGAAAAATGCGATTCTTTTTTATAAGAAGAATAATAATAATGATAAAAAAAGAAAAAATTCGCGAACATGCGCTGATTGAAATTTGAAAAAGAAAATGGAGAAAAAAAACAGAAGGATTAAAACAAAGGAAAAAAGTAAGATTTTAACACTTTTCTCTCTCTTTAAAAAAAAAAACAACACAAAAATATTATACACACAGAGACAACATACCTTATACTTATTTAAATAGTTTTCATTCTTTCTCTTTTTTTTTGATTTTCAAAGTTTATTAGCCAAGGGTGTATATGCCTTGTTATTAACCTATTGAAGAATGTTAGATTTTACATAAACAACAAACACACACACACACACACACACATGCCCACTTTCGATAAGGGGTACATCTACGAAGTAAAAGTAATTTAAACAATCAACAAACAACAATGTGTAGGAGCTAAAATTTAATGTGGAGAAATACAAAGAAGAAGAAAAAAATTAAAAAAAAAAATCACAAAAAACAATGAGAACATAATCACACTCGTCTAGATAAACTACCCAAAATAGTTATTATCATCTATTATGAATATACGTACAATTTATTATACTTTGATTTATTGCTAGTGCATAAACGAAATGAGTATGGAATATAGAATCAAACAAACAACAACAAAAAAATAAATAAAAAAAATTAAAAAAAAAACAATCAGAGTTTGTTTTTTTTTCGTGGCGAAAGACCTTTGTTTCTTACGGCACGGCGGCGGTACACATGGTCGACTTTTCATTTCTTTTTTTAAGGATTCCTCATTCATTTCTTTTGTAAATAAAAAAAATTCACATCTAAAACAACAACAACAACATTTCTAAACGTAAAACAAGTGGAGAATCTAAAAAAAAAACAAAAACACAACACACATATTACATTTATGGTAGCGTTTTCTTAAAGTATATCCTAATCATTCAATCACATACACAAACACATATTTCATTCACTTCGCAGACAACACATCAAATTCATTGTGAGAAATGAGCATTCTTTCATTAGAGCATTCGATTGCCGCGTGAAACATGAAAAACACGAACTCGAATGTAAATCAACAGAAAAGATGATCGAAAATCAGTTGAAATTACAAAGATTCATCATAAGATTATGTGCAAACACATTCAAATTTTATTATTAAAATCACAAAAGATCTTTACCAATAGGTGACAAAATGAACGAAACTAAACGAACATGTATTAAAAATGGGCGATGAGATCGAACGATGATGCAATGAGAGTGCTGCACATACTTATACACATACACACCATCATTCACATCGTTTGGTCTCCAACAAATTTTGTGTAATATAGTGAAGCGAGCTAATTACAAAGAAGAAGAAAAACCGGATGCAGAACCAAACACACACACACACACACAAAAACACAAGAGAAGCATACGTTTTCGAAGTAGTTTACCTCTATGCGTACATCAATTAGTAACTGTTTATTAAGGAGAATTAAACAAAACACACTGGAGACGAAACATGGATAATTTAATTTAATTTAAACTGAGCGAGAGAGAGAGAGAGAGAGAGAGAGCATAGAACAGAAGAACATTTGAACATAGGAGATTTTATTTGTATAGTACATGCAACCACCACAACAACAAAACAAAAATGAGTGACGAAAATTCCACACAATCGACATATTCACGAGAGAGACAGAGTGAGACAGAGAAAAGGAAACCGAATAGTCAGACAGTTGTGAGCACAGTTGCGCGCGGTATACACAGAACAGTAGGTGTAGTAAAGAGAAGTAGAGAAGTGAAAGTAAGATCGTCAAGCGGAAGCAATGTTTTTAACAGATGTCCATGTAGAAAGAAGAATATGCAACAATTGTTAAATGAGCTACCCAAATTGTGTACAGTAGAAATGTGTGCGAATGAATTGCATGAATGATTGCACGTGCGTGCGTGTCTATACCTTATGTATAACGGAATGAAATAAATCCAAACAACTAGATGCTTTGCTCGTTTTCAATTTCATTGCAAATAGCCATCAATTATGATGGAACCAACAGATTTTCAATACAATTCCAAACTGATGCGTTTACTAATTTAACGATATTTTGAGCAAGCGAGGAAGAGAGAGAGAGAGAGAGAGAGAGAGAAAGAGTGAATGTGTGTGTGCTTGTGTCTCGCCACTAGAATTGCAATTTGTACTCTGCGACTATACGAAACGACGATGTACTTTTCTCTCTCGATTTTAACACAATCAACTCAACAACTCAATGGAATAGGAAAAAAGAAAAAAAAATCGATGAATAAAATACTATTATTTGTTAGAACAAAGGATGAATTTATCAGAAAATTCGGTCTAGTTTAGTTTTTTTTATTCCGTTAAGTTTCTCAACGAAAGACATTTTTCAGAAGAAGAAAATAACAACAACGCGAGCACATTTGACACGAAAAAAACCGGAATTCAAAAACAGACACACACATACGATGATGATGATGATGATGATGATGATGATGAACATACGTTTCTCTAGATAATAAACTAAACTATTGCATATAATCGAATTAAAACATATGGAATTCACCTGTAAGATAGCTTTTTCGTATTCATATCGTAAAAAATGAGAGAATTTAGCTTAAAAGAATCATTCACTGGATGAAAAAGTGATAGAAGAGTAAATCACAAACAAAACAAATAACAATACACAAACACGTTGATCAAATACAAAACAATATAGATGATAACAAACCGTGTATTTTCGCGTCTTCGCACCGAACGAATCAACTATTTAGAATTTTAATTTGAACAAAAAAAATGTCCCTTGTTTTTTTTCTACGGTGAATATTTTTTTTTTAATCATTTTGCTTTCATTTGTTCGCATTTTTTGTACATCATTTTTTGCATTAGAGCCGGCCAATTCAATGGATAATTTTAGCAAACAAAATACACAAACATATATGAATTTAAACACTCGCATTAAATAAGCTAATAAACGAAATTGTAATTGAAAGAGATTACGCGGTGTAAATATGATACATTTAAAGAAGCAAACAATAAAAAGGGATTTACAGTAACTAAATAGGCGTTTTGAGAATGTGAGAGAAATGTGAGAGATAGGCAAATGAATAGGGAATCGAGGTATTTGCATAATAATAATAATAAAGAAAGAACTGACTGAATGTGTGTGTGTGTGTGTGTGTGTATAATCGAGTATGAGAGGGACGGAATTTTTTCTCATTGGACAAGCGTGTTTGTCGTTACAAAATTCTCAAAAATGCATTCGCTTCTGCTGTGCAGCAACAAAGTTTTCTTCTTTTTTTTATCTTCTACTTCGTTTTTTTTTTCATTTCTTGTTTGCTCAATTCGACCGAAGAAGCCTGAACAAAACCAAGCAAAAGTACTAAAATATGGATAGAAAAAAAAGCTCGCTGTTACGATATTAACGAATTTTGTCATTTGACACCATGTTACTGAAAAGAAAACGAAAGACGGCGACGATGACAAAAGCAACAAAATGAAATTGTAAAACTGATAGTGAATTCATTTTATTGATCATATATAAGGAAGATGAACGTTCTGTAGAATTTTGAAAAAAAAAGGAAGAAAAAAAACAACAACCAACAAATGAACTATTTTAACTGACAAAAAATCTGATTGTGTAGATGAATTTCAAACTAAATTATTCGATGACTTATTTAATTGTGTTGCAAGAACACGCCAATTGATAACAAAATGAATGAAGAAACAAAAGCAAAACTAAAATCTTTGCAACAAAAAATGAAACTAATGAAAATATTATACCAAATAGTAGCAATTTAGATTTAGAACAAATGAAATTGAAAGTGATTAAGAATGGAATGTCATTGGAAAGAAAATACAAGTGCAACTGAAATGAAAATCGCGCGTTTTTTTTTCCACTCTCTCTTCAAGTGCAAAACGAAGCCACCGTGCGTATGTGTGTGCGCGTAGTATTGCAACGAAGCAAAATGAGGTCTGCAACTGAGAAACTGGTAGTGTGCACGACGAATGCACGACATTTGTCCGTTTGCATTTGCAATGTGTGTCGACGCAATGTGCCGTTGTACACATTCGAAACGATCGTTTTTTCTATCTCGGTCACAACCGGTTGAGATTCATAACAAAACCAAATCTTCAAAAAGACAAATTTCGAAAGAAAGAAAACAAACAGCAGCCACAATTTTCCTCTTTTTTGTATATTCTGTATGTGTGTGTTTAATTTTGGATGTGTACATATTAGGGATAGAAATAGCAAAACTGAAAAAAAAAACAAAATTTCAAACACAAAATTTATGAAAGAAAAAAAAGAAGTAAATGTTGAAAGCTCATAAAAACAAAAGACACAACAAATAGGCAAAAAGAGAGAATGGTTCAGAATTTTCATGCAAAAGGAATGGGAAACGTCCGTTTCCGATCATTTGTCGCGACACACATACACACACACACACACACACACACACATCAATATCGATCGTGATCGCTCCCCAAATTGAATGAAACTTGAAAAAATACAAATTTTGAGACTACATCAGCACGCCACTTGAGCGTGTGTACGAAATAAAAAAATCGCCATAGCTTGATACACGTTACACGTAGATCAAATTTAAACAAAAGCAACAAACATTCACATTCATTTCAAAGGCTCCACCACAAAGTCGATGAAATCAAACTGTTCGCGTAACAAAAAGAAGAAGAAAAACAAACAAGAAAGAGAGAGAGAGACACGAGATGAGTAAAGTAGAACAGAAAAGGAAAAAGAACAACAACACAGAAACCTATCAAAATTTGCAGAGATTCCAAAATTGTAATTGTCGCCATTCATTTGGGAGGACTTGACTTGATAACCATTTTTACTATGTTAAATGATAAAAAAATAAATTTAAACAAATAAAAGAAAAAAACAAACAAAAACATTACAAAAATGGTGTCTCTGTGAATGGATTTATAATATTAATACCTTAAAATATTGCTATATTAACTACAATCTATTATTTTATTATTATATTGAAAACAACAACAATTTTCGATTATCTGACGATATGCACGGTACGGTTGGTGTTTTTCGCGAGAGCTGGCTCATCTCACTATCTCATTCTTTTATTATTTTTTGTTTTGTCTTGATTTATACAGATAGAACATGTGTCTTTCGCGAAAAGCACAACAGTCTAAATTGATCGACAGATAGTTAGCCTATTGGATCATAATTATACATACATACTATTTACTATTATGATTAAGAAACAACAAATGCTACATCTTCAAACAAAAAAAGAAAATATTACACAACAACAACAACAAGAACATGAAAGAATAAAAAAAAACATGAAAAAAATACAAAATTTAAAAATAATGATGAAAAACAAAACATTAAATTTATTATCTATGTGATTGTGTGTGTTTCATGGCAAATATACAAAAAATAAAATGAAAAAGCAAAAAAAAAAACATGATAGTCTTTTCTTTGTCTCAAAGTTTCTTCGGCATTTTTTTCAGCCAGTCAAACAGTGGACGTTGTTCTAGCAGCAAACTTTCATTTTCAGGTGGAAATCTTTCTTCTTCCGTCCTCGATTGGTAGCTTTTTTTCATGGTAAGTATGCTTGAGTCAAACACCTTTGCATGTGTTTTCAAGGAGGAGCCGTTATGGAAACAAATGATTCTTTGATGAATCGAGGGTTGTTTTTTCGGAAGAAATTCGATAGGTAGGAAGCTTTTTTTTGGCGTAATCATTCAATCTTGAATTACATAATAGCGGTGAGCTTTGAAGTGTTTGACTTTCTCTTGAAAATAACCTTTTTAACGATAAGACGGATCTTATCATACTTCAACAGTGACGGCAGCAGCAGTAGCAACAACAATTGTTAACAAGATTCTTCAATCAATTAACTCCACGTGATAATTCAAGCTTAAAATCAGTCGTAGTTTTCGCCATTCATTCAACACTAACAGCCACGAAAAAAAAACACAAAAGAATTGAGTGGCTAACTAAAGAGTGAGAATTTAGTCAATAAAAGGCAAAACTACGCACAAATTAACAAGATTGCATCAAAACATGTTGATTGCTTCAGAATGACAATTTATTATTTTTTTCCGTCGACTGGAGTCTGTGTTTTTGTTTATGTCATTTTTTTTACGCTGTGCATCGAGTGTTGTTTCTTCATTTCGTTCGCTGTTTTTGGTGTCTCTCTGTGTGTGTGTATTCGACTGGAATAATTTTCACACCAACTGAAATGATAACGAAGCGCATACACAGCGCGCGCGATTGAGAGAATGAGGCTAGCCGAAGTGTATATATTTTTTCTGTTTATTTTCGGCCGTAGAACAAACAATTTGGCGAATTCGCATGAATTTTGGCAGCTTGTAAAAATTATTCAGCTAGGGAATGAACAGTGTGGTAATAAT